ACTCTTTTCAGAACAACTAGAATTAAGTATGATAGTTTTAACTTCCTACCCAGTCACCATTGAACACTTTGTGAAAATTGAAGTACTTTGATTATACTCATATTTCAGAGATTAGTTCTCATTTTTGAGAAAGCTATTAAGATTTTACTTAGTAACTTACCCTTAGAAAATGCATAGTAATCAAAGCCATCAGGTTTTCTGACATTGGGCAGTGCTATTGCTGAAGTAACCACATTTGGAAATCCTCTCCACAGTGAACTCACTCTAACTTCATCATGAAGGAAATCTGTTGATGATACTTTAAAGGTGTCAGATTGAAAGGCAATATATTATAGGAAAGAACAGCTATTAGAGTCAGCAGCCCTGGGTTTCAGTCCCAATTTGGTCACTTTCGTAGCTCTGCCAACTTGGGTGAGTCATTTAACATGAGTTATTTAACATCGGTGCCTCAGTTTTTACCCTCTTTGACATAATGCAAATACCTACTTTTAGAACTATTTTGAAGGTTACAGAGTTGTATATAATGTCCTTGGTAAGACATACATGATAAATGGTATTTAGTGTAATTAACCTGAATAAACTGCATTCCTTACCCACAAAGAAAAAGAAAATACTGCACTTCAGTCATTCACTGAGGCAAATTGATGTTTTGCATCAGTAAACTTAAAGTATCAAGGCTCTTTGGTCAGGATTTAATAAAACTTACTCTGTAAGAAATTGTATTACATCTATTTCATTTGTAAGAATTTTTAACACAGTAACAAATGTTACCTTTGTCTTGATAAGTGACTCTGATGGGTGAATAGTGAATTCTGATGGTGTGTGTTTGAGAAGGTCCTATCGCACGTTCAAAGCGACGTCTCCTAACCTGTGTCATTTCTCCATACACTGGATAATTTATAGCAGGCCTTCTTCCAGTGCACTTTTTGATGGGTTCCTGTTTATAAATGTACTGCTGAACGCTGCCACCTGTTATGCATTAGAAAAATCATATGTGAAAATTAATTTTAATCTCACTGAAAAATGGAAAAGAAATTTTACAACATGGAGGAACCTTTTTCATAACACGTCTAGATGTTAATAATGGGTATTAGTCCAAGTTGTCATCAAAGTAATTATTAAATCCTAAAACACTTGTTGAATAAATAAAGCCAACAAATTGCATAGTTATATGTTTAACTTTGAAAGTAAATGATGACATTTATTGCATTGACCTGAAAACTCTAATGAAACTGATTGGCATGTCAAGATCTGAATATTTCTTACTGCCCAATTTTAATTTTTCCATGAAAACATTTGACTCCAGCCACTGAAGACAACTTTTGACAGTAAACCAAATAATAAATGAAAATACTGAATAAATTTCCCTGGAATGTCAGTTCTTAAAAGTTCATAATTTTGTAAATTATATAGCACATACCTGTCTTGAAAAAATATACAGATTCAGGTCTCGTCTTGTATTTAGCTATTGAGAGAGCTGCCACTATTTTTCCGTTTAGTCCTCTAAATCCTTTTACAATTTGTTTGGGATACCCTGCATCTCTTATGTCATTGGTGAAACGCCAGTACTGAGAACCCTGATCATTTAAAAAAGGAAATGATGTTAGTAGCTTTGGGGAAAAATAGTATAGGAACTCATTCTTAGATTTAAGCATAAGAAGAAAGTTGTAACTTAAGTTTGAATAAGTTGACCATTAATATTACCAAATTAAGTGTTGATTTTTTTATTAAATTTTGATGATACAATAGTTCATTTAAATATGGTGACTCTTCTGAATGGGGTTAAGCTGATGTATGCTGTCATAAGAAAGAGGAATAACTATTCACTGATTCCCTCACATAGATGTTTTTCTTACCTTAAAGAAGAAAGTTTTTCCTTCACAGTTGCATCTAGTAAAAACAGTATCAATGGGGGAGGGAATACCCCAAACTTCAGTAATTCTACGAGGTGGAGATGGTGGACTGAGTGGACTTAGCATCCAGAAATAATGACCTGAAATTTAAAGTGATAGGTCAGCCTATAAACAGAATGATACTAAAACCTATCCCAAAGAAACCAAACTGAAAATTTCTAGTTTTCCCTAAAAAAAAGACAGAGTATGTTAACAAGCATTGTATAACTAGAAATTTAGTCAGTACGAAACTGCTACTGAGAGTACTAGTACAGAAGGTAGTATTTGAACATTTCTGAGTAGATGTTTCTCAAGTCTGAAATTAAGCATAAACTTTGAAAAATTCAGTTTTCCAGTTTCTCTAGAAGGAGTTCTGGCTTTGTGACACACACAGTTACTTAATCTCTCTATTTCTTTATCTTTTAGAATTAATGAGTTACAATTAATTGGCTATTAAAATCTCTTTAGCCTCTACTGTGGGGTTCTATGATTGTTTCCTCTCAGATTTAATCTAAATATAAGAAGACTGGATGGACTAGCAGATGGTACAGCAGAGAATTAACAGGAAGTAACTGCTGTTCTAAAACCTGTTACTCTCCCACAGAGTGTTAACACTCTTGAACACATTGCAATCAAGATGTTATTTTCAAATAAATAGAGCAGGAGTACAAATTGTGATGTCATTTCATTTTATTTTAATTCCTAATGGTAGGAAAAGCCTTAGTAGTATCATCAGTTCAAACTCTATTTTGTTACTTTGTCTGGTTTTGTTAATCCAATATATTGGTAACTACTCAAGTTACTATGTGAGGTAAGTTCATCAATCATATTCTCCAGAAAGCTCAACCTAAACTTTTACTTACATTGCTTTGATTCTTGTAAATGCCAACAACCAAATGACGGGCAGAAAAAGAAATGTGTGTTTAACTCACCTCGAAATGCAACTAATGTCCCATTGTGCAAAGTAGTCAGTCCATCTACTGGCACACCATTGCATAAATTAGTCTCATCTAAAACAAAAAAGTAAGCCAACATGAAATGAAAAAAGTGTTTATGTTCTTTTCAAATCCTCCCTCAAGATTCTGCTTCCTCTGTTCCAACCTTAAGCCAGTTGCATGTATTTTGGAGGCAAAAAAGAAGTGATATATTTCGTAATTGTTGTTTTAAAAGTGACATTCAGAAAGTATATAAAAATGAGTCACTGGAATGGCCATGTTACCTGATCTTCACATAAATTGGATAGTTATTGAATGTTTGATTTCAACATGAAACTTCATTTTTCATTCTCTTTGCAATTGGTTTGGAAAAGAATATATTGCAGTTTTGCTTTGCATTATACTTTAAGGATAGACTTCCCTTAAATATTTAACCCCAAAACTAAATATTTTTGGCATTTTATATGCATCTCTGCTTTCAGACACAGATGCACTGAATTCCTACACTAGGTTCTTATTTTTCCAAAAATCAAATAAACTCGTGATTACTCTCTGCTTCCCTACAGAGAAACTAAAAGCTAGTTAACAACTTGAGAGTTCTAGGTAACTTTTTATCAATAGAGTAAGACTAAATCAGGGCATTCTGGTTCAGATAGACTTTGGTTAACACTACCAATTTTAAAAATGAAAGCGACTGATTCTTATTACCTGAAAGTATGGGGTCGATGCTAATGCCTTGTCTGTGTCTGCTCACCAAGAAATCCGTGCCTGGAATAACTATAGGGGTTAACTCGGGACGCCTGGGAACCACGTGAGATGTTTCTCCAGCAGCAACCGCATCTCCATTCTTCGGATTTCCTCCAGCTATTTCTGACTTAGGCATTAGGTTAGGGCTGGTGGTGGCCTGAATCCTGGCTCCTGCTGAAGGGGTAGGGTTTGACTGAGGCCCAGGCGATCCCGTTGTCTGTGGAGGGGCTGATGTGGTCTTTGGTTTTCTTACTTTGGGCTTTTTGGTAGAAGTGGGCTTTCTGGGGGCTTTGGTTGGCTTTGGGGACTTAGGAGTTGTCGCTTGAGATTTAACAGCTGTTCGTTTGGGAGTAGCTGTTCCTTCAGGGTCACTCACCGTCTCTTCTGTCGCAGGAGCCATCTTTGTTGCAGACATTGCGACATCGGGTGTAGGAGTTGTTGCTCTAAGAGTGATTCTGAGTGACGTAGTGTCCTCACTGGTGGTGGAGGTTACCTGCGTGGTTGGACTTGTTTGAGATTCAGCAGTCTTTCCTTCTGTAGGCCTCGCTGTGTGTTCTGTTGTAGTCTTAGGTACAGCGGCTGTTACTCCAGGTGTAGTATGTGTGTCTTTTTCTGTTGTTTTGTCTTTAACTGCTGTGGTCATTTCAGGTTTGGTCACTTTAGGAGCCTTTGTTGTAGGTACAGCAGGCTCCTTGGGACTGTTTTCATGGGCCTTTGGTGTAGATGCTGCAGGAAACTCAGTTGATTCAGCAGGGTTCCTGGAAGTAGTGGGAGGCTCCACCGTGGTGGTTGGAGTAAAGGCCTCTGACATGGTTGAAGCCGCTGTCTCAGGAGAACTGGGAGTAGGCCTCTTGGCGGTGGAGGTGGGCTCCTTGGGAGTGGTGGGAGTGGGCCCCTTAGTGGTGGTGGGTACAAGCTCCTTCAGGGTGGTGAGATCCTGTTCCTTAGGGGTGCTGGGAGCAGGCTCCTTGGGGGTGCTGGGATTCTGTTCCTTAGAGGGGGTTGGTGCAGGCCCCTTGGTGGTGGTGGTAGTGGGTAAGGGCTCCTTGAGGGTGGTGGGATCCTGTTCCTTAGGGGTGGTGGGAGCAGGCTCCTTGGGGGTGCTGAGAGCAGGCTCCTTGGTGGTGGTGGGAGCAGGCTCCTTGGGGTCCCTGGGAGCAGGCTCCTTGGGGTCCCTGGGACCAGGCTCCTTGGGGTCCCTGGGACCAGGCTCCTTGGGGTCCCTGGAAGCAGGCTCCTTGGGGGTGCTGGGTACAGGCTCCTTGGGGGTACTGGGGGCAGGCTCCTTAGGGGTGCTGAGAGCAGGCTCCTTGGGGGTGCTGGGAGCAGGCTCCTTGGGGGTGCTGGGTACAGGCTCTTTGGGGGTGCTAGGGGCAGGCTCCTTGGGGTCCCTGGGAGCAGGCTCCTTGGGGGTACTGGGGGGAGGCTCCTTGGGGGTACTGGGGGGAGGCTCCTTGGGGTCCCTGGGAGCAGGCTCCTTAGGGGTGCTAAGAGCAGGCTCCTTGGGGGTGCTGGGTGCAGGCTCCTTGGGGGTGGTGGGAGCAGGGTCCTTGGGGTCCCTGGGAGCAGGCTTTTTGGAGGTGCTAAGAGCAGGCTCCTTGGGGGTACTGGGAGCAGGCTCATTTGGGGTGCTAGGAGCAGGCTCCTTGGGGGTGCTGGGTGCAGGCTCCTTGGGGGTGCTGGGAGCAAGCTCCTTGGGGGTGGTGGGAGCAGGGTCCTTGGGGTCCCTGGGAGCAGGCTCTTTGGGGGTGCTAAGAGCAGGCTCCTTGGGGGTACTGGGAGCAGGCTCCTTTGGGGTGCTGGGAGCAGGCTCCTTGGGGGTGCTGGGTGCAGGCTCCTTGGGGGTGCTGGGAGCAGGCTCCTTGGGGGTATTGAGTGCAGACCCCTTGGGGGTGCTAGAAGCAGGCTCCTTGGTAGTGCTGGCAGAAGGATCCTTGGGGGTCCTGGGTGCAGGTTCCTTGGGAGTTTTGGGAGCAGGCTTCTTAGGGGTGCTGGTGGAAGGCTCCTTGGGGGTCCTGGGTACAGGATCCTTTGGGGTCCTGGGTGCAGGTTCCTTGGGAATAGTGGGAGCAGGCTTCCTGGGGGTGCTGGGTGCAGGCCCCTCGGCAATGGTGGGTGCAGGCTCCTTGGGGGTGGTTGGAGTAGGGGATTTGGTTGTAGTTTTGGCTTTCGTTGTAGGTTTAGTAGGAACTGCTGATGTAGGTGCAAAATCTTCAGCAGATGTTTTTTCTGCATTTCGTGTCTCTTTAGCTGAAGTAGTCTTCTCTTTTGCACGAGTTGAAGTCTGTTTGTTTGTTACAGAAGTCTCTTTAGTTTCAACTGTTGTCTCCTTACTGGTTGTGGAAGATGTTTCTTTGGATGTAACAGAATTAGGTGGAAGACTGGGTTTAAGATTTTTTGGTTTCACTGTTGTAATCTTGGGAGATGCAGTAACTTTGCCGTGCCGAGGAGTAGGAATGTTAGGAGTTGGGGTGAGCTTCATATCTCCATTGTCCAGTCCGCTTCCGGCTTCATCTACAACTGGTGGTTCTAGGATAGGTTTCTTTTTAGGAGTTCTTTCCTTCTTATCTTTTACTAGAGAAAAAAATATGTGTCTTTTATTTTTGAGTAACTTTTTTTCTTTAATAGTGACATAAAGACCCATCCTTATCATTGACTAACTGTGTGTGTCTAAGCAAATTGCTAATATGTCTATGAATTTTTATTGTAAAATGGTAAATATTCAACCTCATTGGGCTATTTTAAGAAAATGGATTAGATAAAGGGTGAAAATAAAGTTCTATACAATGAATACATGGGAATAAGTGGCAATTTTGAAATTACCAACATGATCAATAACAATTCCTTCTCTAGATTAATGCTCTTTGACCCTCACTTTCCCCTCTCCTCTTTCATTTTTCTGTGCCCCTTCCTCCCTCCTGGAAGTCTACTTATTTCAGAGTCCTCTGCAACTCCATCCAAGGAATCTGTTACAGTCACCACCCCCTTTTCCCTGCTGAGCCCTGTTTCTATACACATGGCTGTTATCTGCTCTCTTTCCTCTGTCTACCTAAATTCAGTAGTCCCAGGGCATACAGAGAGGAGATTAGGATGCCATGGCAGCAAAAAGGCTCTATGGAAACAGGATTTCCTACAGCAGCCACCCCATCGGTGAGCTCCAGAGTTCAAGGAACATGTCACTGAGATGAGTTCCCCATAGCAAACATACTGCTTTTCTATCCTGTACAAGACTCTCTGGGTAACTCAAAGATGAAATATTTGGCTGTTCAGCTGGAGAGAATGCTTAAGGGGAAATTCCAACCACCCAGGACACAGTTCTTCAAAAATCTCAGTGACCAAAATTCAGTATTTCCTGGAGAAAGATGTATTTAAGAATTTCAGAAAATAATAAAATGCTGAGAACAAAGGGAGTCTTTTGGGGAGATAACCTACTCTGTAGTACATTCTCTACTACAAAAAGAAATCAGCCAGATAAGACATTTTTAGGGAAGGAACAAAGAGGATCTGTAAAATGTGGTTATTAATTGCCTTTCCCAAAGAGGTGTATGTGGATGAACATTTTAAAACACTTAAAGCAGTATATAAGTGTTAAATAAAATAAATCTGGGGAAGAAAAATGAAAACACAAGGAAGATAGAGAAAGAAAAAGAAAGAAAAGTGATCTCAGGTGTACAGGAATTGAAAGAAGCAGCCATGAATGACCTCTGGTGCCCTTGGCATGGTTCCATAGTTGCCGCTATAGCATCTTCACATCCTTCAACTTTAAACGGTTTCTTAGCTGCTTGGCACTAATTTCCTATGAAAACTTTTCAGTGGTATCTCCTAAAATAATGTTCATAAAGTTACATGCCCCCCAGATACTGAAATCCTCAAATCCATTTACCAACACACATTACTTGTAGATAATTATTATTAACTTGGCATTGATATAGTCTGTGATCTTTATCAATGCTCAAACCTTTGGGTTTCTTCTTTAATTCTTTATTAGCAGCTGAATTTTTGGAAGACGTGACTTTCCGAATAGTTGAGGAAGAGGAAGAGGAGGAGGAAGACTCTTGATTTTCAGAAACAGAATGTTCTATAAATCAAATAAAAAGGTTGATCACACCAACTGATTTAAGGTAAAAAAAAAAAAAAACTGCCAGTCCAAATACAAGAAACGCTGTTTACTGACCTACGAAAGTCTGTGTTCTGCCTTTATTATATCAGCAATATGATTAACTACCCTTTTAATTTGTTAAAATTAAAAGCAAGGCACCTGAATTTATCAGAGATACTAATAAAACAACCATATAACTTTTTCGTATCTCACAAAATCTAGTTCTACAAATAAAATCGTGGGCTTTTTTTAACAAAGACATCTCTTTCTTATTATTTTAACCTACACCCACACTAGGTTCAGTAAATAAGAAAAATAAAAAACTAAGGTTGATAATTAGCTTAAACTTTGACTTAAAGCAAATAAACAAAAAGTGTATTGACACTTCCGTGACTCATATGATTACCCTCTTCTTGGAGGAGGCTTATAAAAGTAGTCTTCCTGCAGTTATTTCATCTCAGAAACTTCCTCTTATTACCTCTATCATCTTCCTACCTTCTGTTATTTCCTCTGATTCTATAACTTTCTTAGTCTTCTTTTTTGATTTGGGAGAACGTTTGGTTGTTGCTTTCCTGGTTTGAGATGCTCTTGGAGGCGGAGGTGCCGTCTTTGAAGATGGTGGTGGTGTGGGATTATGCACTGAGGCCAAGCAAGACAGGTCGGTTAGCATCTTGTTCAAATTCATCATTAACTAACTATGCAAGGTACTGATTCATCTGGCTTCAAGAGTACATGCTTGTGAAAGCCAGTGCAGGCAGACTGTAGCCCAATGCTCATTTCTACAAACCAATTAATTTGGGGATGCATGGCTATATAAAATATTGGTTCTCATATTGTTACAATTTGTGACAGTGGACAAAGGCTCAGGAGTCAGAAGACCTGAATTCTAGTCCTAGGTGTGTAAGGCTCTGCCACTGTGACCTTGGGCAAATGGGCTAACCCCTCTTGAACTTTGCTTTTCTTGTCTGCAAATTGAGATGTTCATTCTAGATGATTCCTGAAGGTGTTTCCCTGCCTAAAAAGTATTTGACTGTTTGGCGCCTATCTTCTGTGATAATAAAAATAATTACTGCATGTGGATGACAGGTATTACAACGCTCAAGAAGAGAAAGATAATAATTACATTTTTCCTATTTTCATATTCATTTAAATCAAAGAATACCATGTATCTTTTATTTTCTTAAATACAAAAGTTCTTCATGGCTATTGTGTAGACATGTCACTCCTTCACATTATGCTTGTATCAAAACTTGTTTTCCTTCCCCAAGTTAAACAATTGATAATGGTTTGATGCATGTCTTTAAAACCTTTCATCGTCCCTCCTGCCACCCTTTTTCATGTCCAAAAGAGAAGACATGGGACCTGTTTTGGTCACTAGGAAGCAGAAGGAAAGGAGAGGGACTTCTGGAAGATGAGAAAGCAGAGAACAGTGGGGATGCTCTAGGTAGAGGAGATTTGTGATTGATCCTGCTGTTCTTAACCGAACATGTCCTCAGACCTCTGTTGCTGAAGTCTCCAGAAACTGCCCACCACACCTCTCCCTCTCTCTCCTCCCCCCAACACCAAGTACCTCCATTTGAGACACAGTGCTTCCATGTACAAGCTAGTGATCTCCATCTGGACTCTGTTCTCACCCACATTCAGAGGCACTTGACTGCTTTGAGTTCTCCATTCTTGAAATGTTAAGGATTTCAAGATAAATAGACGCCAACAAGCAGTATCTAAGCAAATTTGGAAAAAGCTAAGCTTTCGGTCGGTTGCAAGATACTTTGGTTGTTATTTTTTTAAATGAAATAGTGAAATTCAGAGTGGTTTCTGTATTTTCATGTGGGACCCTGACTGTCGCAGTGAATTCTGTGAATGAAGTATACATTCATCAATCTTTATCAATAAGTTCTGCCTAAACCTCAGGTAATCTGACCCTCTACTTGGTAGCATTAAAGCATCGTCTTCATTAACAGGTTCTCTCCAGTGCTTCCTCGCTCTCTAACCACCCTCCCTCCCTACCCATCCTCTGCCCAGAATAAATTCTTAGGCTTTTGTCTCACAGCCAAACAATTAGCAGGTCAATGAGTAAATGTGTATCATTCATCCTGAGCCCTTCTGAAAGCTGCAGAAACCCTCCTGTCTGAGTCTCTGATGACCAGGGTGCTGGCTCCGTTGTTTTTGAAATGCTTTCCAGCGAAAATATTGAACAGTTAAGTGCCCCTCAGCCTCGCTGATGAAGAGTTTTCCACCCTATTTCTCCACTGCTCGAAAGAAGCAAGAGGTGGTTTGTTTAAATAAAATGGTAAGATTATGCAAGCAATGCTTATTTCCACTCTTACCTCCACACGTAGTCTGGTTTTAACAAAGTAGACCTTAAAAGCAAACACTGGTAAAATAAAGGAGTCTGTTTTTTAAGTATATTTTTTAAATCTTCTTTTTTTTTCTTTACTCTGGAGAAAGTGTTTTTTCTACTCCCAGGGTACTCCTTCAGGACCAGAAAAGAAGACTTTTAAATGGCACTCCATCCCTTTTTATTAACTGTCACACACAGGCATTTCGATGGAGACTACTGGGGGACTGGGACGTGGGAAGGACGTGAAAGGGGCAGGTAACAACTTCTTGTTAAGTTGGTCTGTAAATTCAATGCTTTAAACTAACTCATAAATTTACTAGTTAGAGAAACCAAAGTGTCATTCCATCTTCAAATATGCGCTTAAAAACATTGAATCCAAAAGCACGGGTAGCTCAAAGGACAGTTGATTTTGTGGGATCAGCACCAAGAGGATGAGGCAAGAAACCATCAGATGCGTTGGTTACTGCAGGTTTAACCTGAAATCGAACCACGCCTGAAGAAAAAAGGTACACTCGGTTGCTATCCTTTCTGCTACTTAACGGCGATCTCTTGGGCTCCTGGAGCCGGGCTGAGCCTGGGAGTGCCGCTGGAAGGGGCTTTCCTTCTTTAATTCATCTTGTTCAACCAAAATTAATGTGTAGATAGCTTATATGTTAGTAAAACCACGTCCTTAGAAGGATGGCGTGTTAGGCATTCCAGGGAAGCTAAGCTAGGTGTGCCCATCTGGTTGCACGGAAGCTCGGATTGGTACCATGAGGCTTACCTTCTTCACAAAAACTCTCATAATCGGAACAGCATTTGCCGTACTTCTTACATTCGGAGTCACAGTCACACTCCCTCCCTCTTGCAAAGGACTCGAAGCAGCGGCCTTTACAGGAAAGCTCTATCCAGAGCAAGACAGAACATTACAGATTGTTGATTATGCAGCCACACGCATGTATGGATAGCCATTTCCCACCTTTTAGCTGACAAGAGTTCCAAAAATGTATTTCCAAGTCTTTAATTGGAACTTGGAAAAAAGATGGTTTCTCAAATGGAGACAACCCAAGTCAAGAAAGAACTATGGTGACTTAGGGAAACCTTTCTTTCCCGTCCAAGCTTCCAGAGATACCTCAGGGCTGTCTGTCATTTCATGTATGGACAATGGAAAGTTGGGAAATGTCTACATTTTGCCAATGCACTGCATTTTAACTTTTTCTATATTTTCTCAGTAAAGTACCCATCCATCCTCTCCTCCATATGAAATCCCTCTAACATCTCCTCATACCACTGCTTTGTAGTAGATTTTTGTCAATTGAATATTCAGATCCTACAATAACATATTCCAAAGAGCTGGCTGAATATAAATGGGTCACTGTTGAGACTCAAAAATCACTTATAATGCAGAGACTTTTATCATGACAAATGGGACAAGGTATACAGTTAAAAGATTTCAGCCTAGTCCCATGGCATGGACTATGTAAGAGAGGCCTGTTCATTTCCAAAAAAGCCTTGGTTAGAGAGATACAATGACTTCCCAAGGCCTATTTCAAATTATCACCTTATACAACACATAAATTTTGCAGCAATATATTTATCAATTTCACATGCAAACTCTAAAGCAAAGATAACTTTGAACCACTTTTAATTGTAATTTTCATAAATATCATGAATGAAAATCATAATTTCCTTATAAATTTCATACCATTAAAATAAACTTTATTGGTAATTTTCATAAATCCTCAGATAATTTGTTTTAACAACAATGTGGTCCAAAGTAGTTCAAGTGCAATACCACTCATAATTTAAAATGCAGAACGTTTGGATTTTAACTGAAATTCATCATCAAACATTAATGCTTCCTCTTTAAAGCATCTTTTTCAGGTAATTTAGAAATGTCTTACTATCAAAAAGTCAAACAGTGGAGATTTCTCTATGTCCGTGGATTCTTTTTTATGAAATTATCAAAGGGCCCACGACTAAGCAATTACATCTCTGAATAGTAGTAAATAATTCCTTGTTGCTGTTTGCTTAATAACTCCTGACTCACCAGTATTCTCTATTTAGAACAAAACATTTCACTTGGCACTAGTCAATAATATGTCCAGGGAGAGATTTCCAGACTCCCCTCACCACCCCTCTGCCTTTGGTCACCAGCTCTAACACCAGGTTTACGGCACGCTGCAACACTTATGCGAGTGACAGAAGAGGCACATAAGCAAACAGAAATGAAATAGTGTGAAAACAACCTGCAAGGGGTGCAAGGGTACTGTCACAGAATGGAGTGGCTTGACTGGGACATCAGCTCTCAGGACTTACCCACAGTGCAGACTCTCTTGAAATCAGGGCAGCACTCCATGTAGTGTTGACAGTTATAATCACAGTTGCAGGAGGCATCTCTAGAATACCCTTCCCCACATCTCCCTGCACAGCTTGATACATCTAAAATTATACAATACTAGCGTAAACATGGCCAAACTACTTTACAGAAATGAAAAGATCAAAAAAGGACAAAGACACCTGGGCTGGGGAAAAATTTATCAATTGGAAAAGGTGGGGAATGATGGTTAACAATGGATCCAGCTATGTTTGCCTGATGTTTTGTGTGACCTTGAAGATGCCACTTTATTCTTTACTAGACCAAGGAGGTAAATACACTTTTGATAACCGGGCAAAGTAATGATTTTGCGTAAAGAGGTGATATTCCTGGGGGTGAGGTCTACTCGTGCTGCTGCTCTGATGATAACTAGTTGCCTTTTTTTGAGCATCTCTGTGCTGGGCACTGAGTCATCCATTATCTCCAGTGCTTACGAAAATGTTGCCAGGAGAATATTAGTAACCCCTCTTTAGAGATAAGGAAGTGGAGACACGGAAATTCCAATAACCCTCTCCAGTGCACCCAGCTAGTTAATAATTCCATTGTGTATGTATTACAGGTCAATGAATGCCTATTAAGTATTTGTATTGACCTCTTTCACTCTTGGAAGTGTCCTGATTTAGATAATAATGTATATGGTCATCTTAAGTAAAGATCCACCTAGAATTTGAAATCTGATATATCTGATTACAAAGCCCAAACTTTTCCTACCCTATCACATTGCCTCTCATCCAGCACAAACTTTCCTAGAATTCCTCCCCCTTTTATTGGTGGGGATAACTGGGCTCTTTAAATATTGGGGAATTCACATGCTTACATCTACAGCTAGAGTGCAAAATAGATAACTCTTGAAATAGCATCTGTGCATCAATATAAAGGTCATGAACAGAGTTACTATGGGCAAAACAAAACAAAAACAAGAACGAAACATAATTACCCTGAAATGTATTTTTTAAATCATTTGGAAAACACCTTGAGAAACTCCCTGAGCAATAACCACAGAAACATTAACAATTAAATCCATCTCTGGAATAGAAATTGGCAGATGCAATGTCCTAAATCCATAGAGGGATGTTGAAACACTGAAAAAAAAAATCTCAACATAGTGAATCCAGGAAAGCTAAACTCTTAATATGTAAAGATAACAGTAAATATTAGGATGACTTTCAGAATTTTTTCTATACATATGTGCACAATACATACAAAAATGCATATATAGTGTATGTATATAAATACATATATTATATATAAAGAAAAAAGAGAATGGGAAGCAGTAGAGAAGGCAAGGAAAGCAGACCAGACAACATCAAAAGGTCATTCTTTTACAGTTACCAGATTTCTGAAACAGGAAATCAATTATTTTTGTAGGAAAAGTTTATTTTCATAGATTAAATGACCATCCTACATTTATTGCTATTAATTTTAACAACTAATTTTAAATTGATTTATTTAAAGGAAAGTAAAACTCTTTTAGTGAACAATTGATTCTATTACATAGGAAGGTAGATTAGGAAATGTACCCAATGTGAATCTTGTAATACTATGAGGAGAAAGCAGAAGGGTCTGGATGTAGATTTTTTTACTTTTATTAAATATTTATATTTGCTTTCATGTATTTTCCATCTTTTCTTATCTAAGTGATTCTGAAACTATGTCCAGGGCAGGCAGTTACCTCTCATGCTCAGGTTCCTAAGAATTTCAGTTATTTGACTGGACATTTCTATTTTATCAGTGTAATTTCACCATAACAATCACACACCTTGATTTTTCACCTCTCAGATTTTGCTTATCAAAGAAAATAAAAGAAAGAAATGAAAACCTAAAGCCTAGTAATATTGTCACTAGTCAACTTTGATCACATGCTAGAGACTTTTGATAAGGTGATTACATTTAATGTACCTTAATTCTCTAAAAATTATAGCAAGAACTGTTCATCCAGGACTGACTCTGTTTTTGAAGGACTATGAATAGTTCAATATTATAATATAAAATGACATTCATGTCTGTATAAGTCTGTATCTGAATGAATAGTTCTTGTAAGAGAGAACACTTTCAAGATTAATATAATGCCATTTGAAACAGTATACATGTTCATTGTAATATGATATCTATATTTATATGATGCCAAAATAAGCTATTTATCAATAATTAATGCAGTGTAAAAAACTAGCAAAAATTACATGCTGTTTAAAAATGGTTTTCTTTAGTTCATCTCATGATATTGTATTGCCCTAGCAAAGTTTTATCATGTAAACCTCTGTATTTTTTTAAACTTTTGGAAAAACCATTAGAACAATAAGTACAAAGCTTATTCTGTAGAAACACCCAAAACTTCTTGAAAGATTTCATAATGCATGAGAAAAAAGTGTGAATCCTAAAATGCTTATAAATATGCTACCTTTGCTTTACATAAATTAAAGGTTTTGCTATGCATTAAATTCAAATATATGTTTATAGAAATCTATTTACTTTGTTGTCATAAAAGTTAGAACAGAATGATTAGCAATAATTCTTAAATAAAAGTACTTTTGGTGGTTAAGATACCTTGAGTAGAAACTTGCTGAATCAAGGAAACAGAAAGAAACAGCAAGTGAATGGGAAGTATTTTCCACTCCATGATTGTTTTCAGGTATGGAGCCCTTTGCTGGAAAGAAAAGAAAAGCATCAGAAAACTATTCTTTAATCTCATCACTGATTTATACCTGTGTCACATAACAATGTTACTTTAAAAATGAGATTTAGTTATAAACCATCCATATTTTTGAAATAAGACTTTTAAAGGCAATCAGCCTTAATTCTATAGTATATATTTGACCATTAAATCTAATCTTATGAAGAGGCAGCCATCAAATAACCATCTCAGCCATGTTACTGACCATCTTAATACTTCAGAATTCCCCAAAATAGAAAACAGACTTATCTTAAAATTCTATTCAAATTATAGCATGTACTCACAGTGCAAAGTTTAAATCCTGTCTTCGGGAAACAAAAATAACCAGCCTCAGTAAAATTTAATTTAACAAACAGAAGAGTTGTCCCAACTTTCCCTTAACTCTCGATAGAAATTTCTCAGCTTCCAGCAGCAGGTGTATTGCATAATGTGAACCTTTTCAAAACTCCCTACTATCCTTATAAATCTCTTTCAAAAACCTTTAATAAATCATATCCCTATTAACTGAAAACTCATTTAATTCCATGAAGCAAGTTAACTTTGACACTTACCCAGTGAAAGGATAGATGAATTTCTCCAATGTCCTGGGAGTCTTATATATGAGTACAAATATTTGGGGATGCAATTAGTCCAAAGGTTAGACAAAATCAACAGTGACAACCTATGAAATCAAACTTTCCTCATTTATTGGAAGAAGGCCCAGACGACTAGACTTAGGCAACATCTGGAAAACACTTCCATTAAGAAAAATGACTACTACAAAATAAATTTAGGTTTATTGGCCAAACACACTTCTGATTTCTAAGTGAAATGGACAAATTGTTCTGAGATGGTAAATCACCCTGGCAGGCTTTCACTAGTATATCCAAGCAGCAACTTAAAGAAGTAGTCAAATCTGGTATCATTTCTTTCTTGGTTTTTTTTTCCAGTTAAATCTAGCATAGAGTGCTTTTGAAACTTATCTAGTATTAGTTTGTGGCATAAATTTTCTGAACCTGCACTATTAAATCAAATGTACATTTCTTTTCTTGAGTATTTTCATGTGCACTGAGCACAGAAAATATGTTCTCACTCACCTAAATGTAGATGATCTACAGTGAACTCTTTAGTTCCCTTTACCATGTAAAAACCTACTTCAAAACTGTATGGATATCTCCCTTAGAACCCTTTATTTAAGCACAGCAGTGTTTGGAAAACGTCTTTTTAATTACTAATCTAGCTTCCTTGCTGCAGAAAATGTGAGCTACAAACCTGGCAGAGCCAAGTCAGCTCAGCTCAAGGTTCTACTCCAGTTTGGTACGGCATGTTGCTGTTCAAATTCTACCTACCCACCTAAGGCTTAGCTGTGTGCCAACACCTCCTTGACACCTTCTCAGATCCATGCACCAAAATCATAGCCAACCAATGTACTATGTTTATAGAAATAATCTGTTCATCTGTCTCCTTACCACCCCCACCCCCACCCCAACAGACTGCACTTTCCCCCAGGACGACCAACACCTGAGGATGAACCCCACTGCCAGCTAGGCAGGTGCTCCACCAAGGCTGTGTGTTCGACACACGCTCGTTGAACAAAACTGTAGTGATCCGGATTCCGCTGTGTAGAGGGTGTTTTTGGTAGGTGCTGCATTTAATGATCACAAAAGGCCTTTAAGTTAGCTATAATCATCCACATTTTATAGATAAGATAAAGACCCACAAATGAAGAATCTGTGATCCGTTTCAGGATATATAAGGAGTGAGTGCCAGAGCCAAGATCTGAACCATCTTTCACTGTAAGTCCCATCACACTTTCACTATATCTAGCTCCCTTTTGATCAAAGCCATTGCTTCAGGGCTTGATTTTATTACTGAATTTTACCCCTTAGTGTGTATATGCACATTTATGAGTTCATGACCTTCATAAAGACAGGAAATATAAGCATCTCTTTTGTTCTCAACAAATTCTTCTTTTGGGCTAAATACATAAAGAATAAGGACAATTTAGAGATTACCTGCTCTCTTCTAAATAATCTCCTTTCTCTGGCAACTATCTCTCCATCTTTAGGGGTATTTCCCTTCAGCCACTTCTATATATATGGTCTTACCACATCACAGCTGATGAAATTAGGAGTAGAAACCTGAGACAGACTGGGCTAATATGTTTCCCTAACCTGGAAATTTGGAATTGCGATTCGAAGATGACAAATCTATCCATGCAGATGTATAACATGTAAACTTCTGTCCATAGTTTAGAGAAGTAGAGAAAGTCCTTCAGAATAAACAGATGCAAGTGAATGCAGCAGTCATGCACAGAAAGTCAGAGAAAGTTCTGGTAGCTTTCTAGTTCTTGGTTATTCCTTCTCCCTGATACCCAGATGCCTTCTTGCTCTCTTATCTATATGGCAGATTCCCTATTTGGGGTTGAATATGGCTGAAGATGCCTTCTGTTACTCAAAATCACTAATCAATACAACGTATAAAATATCCTGTTGGATGGAATGGAATTAAATTTTCTTAATTCTTAGTTTTACCGAGGTCCAGAAGGGGAAGCTAGAAGCTTTATAACCTTTCAAAGTCAGACCTTCACAACATTCCTTTATTATTATTTGTTTGAAATGCTGGGAATACCAAGAATATCAGATACAGATATGCACACAGACACATATTCTTAAAACAAATATAAAATGTTTTCTGATTACTGCCTTTTAGAACTGTCTGTATGATCATTTTCCTCCTTCGAACAAATTCATTATAATGATGGCAAATGACATTACTAAACTGATTGAAAATCTGCTCTAGTAACATTTGTTCTTAAGTTCAAGTTCTAGGCTTGGAAAGCTGACAAGTAAAACAAAACACACACACTATTATGGCCAACAATAACTTTAAACATGCCCATTAACACATTCTTATTGCCATGCAGTATGTTTTCTCTGCACAGTAAAGTATGAAAAAAAATGATAAACTTCATTTAATGCCAAGTTCATGACATTATTTGTAAATACCTTATTTGCATAATCCTGTTGGGTAATGAGGCTGTCTGGGTAAATAAAGTTTGCCCTTAAAGCATGGAAGCATTTTAATTGATCTATTAAAGATATCTTTATATGCTAAATGCTTCATTCTGTGAATAGTGCACCCCGTAACCATCAATGTTGATCATCACTTAGCAATTGTTCCATCAGGGTATAGTTTCCCCCTTTGAGATTTCTTTTATTAAATATTTTTAAATGTTCACTTAAATCTCATTTAATTAGGATAAAAATTATCCTAGGACTGGATTTTGGTAGAGGGGGATAGGGAGAGGAAAGTAAAGAAAGATGGAGATTACTTGGGGTCCTACCCTCATCCTCTAGGGACGATGTCACCCAGCTCGCCCTCACGGACATCAGTTTCTGTGCTTGGCATCAACACCATGAGGCCTTCAGAGAACATTCAAGTGTGTTCGGGGATATCTTGTCTGCATTAACTTGTCCCAGACTGTCGTGCCCTTCTGCTTGGTGTGCTCTGTCTCCATCTCTGATGTTAGCTGTCACTTTGCCCTGAGCCAGTGTGTCTGCACCTAGTGGCTTCTCTCCATCTTTCCACATCTTTGATGTGCTTCATTTTCTTACGGGCAGCAGCCTTGGAAAAACTGAAGCATACCACGGGAAAACCACACATGCAAGCTTGCTCTCTGTTGTCCTAATTTTGCTCACAATGCTGAGTTAGTGTGCTTGAGAAGTGGAATAACCCCTCTCCTGTCATACAGAATAGAGACCAGGAGCTGGGAATGCCTCTCTCTGCTCTGTTCGTGGTGGTCATACACACTGGAGAGCGTTGTGGCTTCTTTTCTGGATGTTGATCAAAAGTCTGACCATTGGATAAGAAAAGCATTATTGCAAGTGCTTTTGCCCGTTGTGTTACTCTGATAATTGCTCCTGATTCTTTGTGCCTTTTCCAGTTGCCCAGCTAGAGGTTACGTTGCCCATATTCTCCTTCTGTTATGTGTGCCAGATGACTGTATTCGCTCAATGAAATGTGAATAGAAGGAATATGTACATCTTGCACTCTACTTTCCTAACAGGAAATTGCTTGACCTGAACTTTCTTTTCCTTCGGTTCTTGCAGACTGGAAGGCAGACATCAGAGAGCAGCATAGGTCATGCAGATACAGATGGCAGCCTAGGGAATAGTATCCTCTTTGGAACATGCATCCACTCCCTCTCCCTGGATTAATCAGAGAGTTGCATAAAAGGGAATTAATCTCCATTTTACTTGAACAACTCTAATTTGGGGTCTTTTTGTTAAACCAACTTTGATAATACCCTAACACAGAAATCCTAGGAAATTCCCAAATATTTAAAGGAATTATATTCTAAAAATTGATTTGTGTACTGTGTAACAATGGAAAAAAATATCATTGATCTTGGAAAGGGAGAGGTAAACTATTTTTATTTGTAGATGATATGATTGCATATGTAGAAAATCTTAAGGAATCCACAGGAAGTTGCAAAAAAGAGTGATCACAGCAAGATCACAGGACGCACTAACAAGATCCATGTTGAGATGCACTTTAATGCATGAATTCAGATGTGCTGCCTCTACTGAATGTTCTGAGAATGAGTTCATTTATTCATTTATTCACTTGTTCATTCATTCAATTCTTTCGGTAAGCAATCGTGCTCACTGCATGCCAGCCCGAGTCTGAATTGCCGGGAATCCATATATATGCAACATAGACTGGTCCCTAAGATTTCTTGGTCCAGTCAGGAGCCAGACATTTAAATCAGTAGCTCAAATAGCATGTGAAAAGGAGGTGGCAAAGTGCTGAACACTAAGAACTGGGCTTTGGCAGCAGTCAGACCACTGTTCAAATCTCAGCCTCAAAATTGTCTACCTAGTGGGCTTATGCAATTCTCATGACCTGTCTACTCCTCAGTTTCCTTATCTGCAAAGTGGGAGCAATAATTCCCATTATTATCTGACCTTGCAGAGATGCATCAAAGAGTTATACTACACATTAGTGATATGTGCTCAATGAATTGTAGGTATTACGATTTGGGTAATGATTATGATTCTAAAGATGTACACAAACTGCTATGGCAACCTGGATGAAGAGGTTCCAACTCCACCTGAGAAGTTCTTCACCGAATGACCTAGGAGTCTGCAGGCTCCTACAGCTAGGAACAGGCATAGTTCCTCTTTGTCTTTCTTTTTGCCTATTTGTTCTTTAGCTCTTGATAGTCTGACTTATTCTTCCTGTGGGGAACGGAACTGTAGAAGATTAAAAAGTGACCTCATAATCATTCTAATACATGCTTTTTTCCAATGGACCATTTTAGTAACCTAATAATAATAGGAAACGTGTTGAGCATTTACTCTGTTACATGGCGCATGTGCATGACTTTAATGAGTGTCACAGTGACCTTATGAGATAGTTA